AGAGAGAGAGAGAGCAATCAACGAAGCCAACACTTTATGCTTTCTCACAAGCATACTAAGGAATGTTTATTGTCATTTCAAGAACAATTTTAATACAATTTGAAGTCTGAAAGAGAATTGCTTCCATAAAATACCCCAATAATTAACAGAGAGCAATCAACAAAGACAGCACTTTGTGCTTTATCACAAGCATACTAAGGAATGTTTACTATCATTTCAAGAACAATTTTAATACGATTTGATCTTCTGAAAAAGGGTTACTTTCATAAATTACCCCAATAATCAACTCAATATAGCCAAAACTTGTTTTTTAACCAAAGAATTCATGGTTTCCATTAGAAAACTGGAAACAATAAAATCATGCAGAGGAATTCCACGACCCACATTCACTCACCAGTATATTCCCGTTCCCCATTCTGTTCAAAGGGTGATTAGGGTTTGTACCACCCATAGACCCTACCAAAACTATATGTTTCACTCCGGCTTCTTTCGCTGCACAAAATCAACCAATAAGCATTCAATCTCAAATAACCACAAAAACTCAATTGCAAAATCAAATAAAATAACCACCAAAAAACATTGAAACATTTTTCCTTTTGAATGTTAAATTCAATTTCAAAACAAAATCAGACCCCAAATATTTTACCAGCATCAATCTGATTCTTCTGACCAATCCAGTCAACCTGACAAATCAATACTATATTAAAACAAAAACAACTACAGTTCTAAAAACTAGAAATATGCAGAACTCATTAGATATATATTACACAGTTTAGTTTAGTCAACATGAATTTTAATTTTCAAAAATTTAAAATAAACTCAAAAAGTTAATGGAATTATGTGAGAAAACCACCTGTTCAGGGTAAGATCCCTCTTCATAATAGAACTCGGGTGGGCCACCTTTACTGGGATCATACCCTGGTTTCATCTTTGGAGCCGCACTAGTCAGGATAATTAGGGCGTCAATGCCGTGAATTGCAGGAACAATGGCCTCACAATTCCTTATATCTCCAATAAATACATCGTCTGAGCCTCCAATTTTGGCTTTGCTCTCCTCCGATCTAACCAAACCCCTTGCAACAAACTGATCGCTTCCTTGCTTTAGTTTTTCGTAGACTAGGTGCCCTGAAAGAACCAATCCAAGCATCCATGGACAATCTTGCTTTATAAGAAGAAGTGATCAAAAACTCACTGAGTACACTTGGACTTGGCTAGTTACTTGACTTGGCCTTTTCCAAATCAAGTATTGGGGTAAACCTCAGGGATATTATAAAAAAATATTTAGAAAAATTATGTTAAATTGTAAAATTCATGGATAAATATTTTAGATGTAATTTTGATGTTTTTGAAGATGATTTGTGATTGTTTCTTGTCATACACCCTAGTTCTCTATTTTCCTGTGGATACTAAAATGTATCCAACTACAAATCATTTTTTTCTAAATGATTAAATCCATGTTTTCTATATTTTTCATCTTGGTTGGACTTTTGTTATTTTTTGTTTACCATATTTCGCTATTTTTATTTTATTTTAAACATTTTCACTTTTTATACTTTTAGGGGTTTTTTTTGCCCTGTGAAGGCGGGTGACACTCGCACCAGAGTTACTCAGTTCAGGGAGGGCCGAGTCCCCAAGCCCAAGCTGAGTTTTTGGACCTTCATAAGAAGAAAAGAAGAGAGAGAAAGCTTTGAGTATTTGAAGACTATGTAACCTTGAACAGCCAGTCCAACCATCCATGGAAAATATTGATTTCTAAAAAGAAAGTAGTCAGTGAGAGGGAAAAAAAGAAAATTAAATATTTGGGATGATGACTGTGTGATATGCAAGAACCACTAAGAACATCAATGGAAAATCCAGGTTTTTTAAATAAAATAAAGGGAAAATTGTAGGAAATGACTGAATATGCCCATGAGTTAATACAGAATACAATCAAGCCCCTATCATTTTAGTTAATCCCCAAATAGCCTTGATTTCAACTTGGGCCCTTGGAGTATTATGCCAACAAATAAAATGCAAAGTGTCTTTAACTGGAAAATAGTCAAACTGTCAAAATACAAAAAAATTATTTGTTCCCCTTAATAAATGGAAAATAAGCAAGTCACAGTGCGATGTCATGGTTTTCTCACAAATTGACTATTTTGCCATGAATATTAAAATGTACTTAACCCAACTAGACATTTGACAAATGCCGCACACATTATGAATTGGATGAGTAGAACATGGTAAAGTATTAGATGGTTCAAAAGTGAGGCATATTTTGTTAAATTTTTTATATTTCATTATATATTTTAAAAATATGGTCCAACTCATTCTAACCTCCAAACATACCAGTTTTGGGACCCCTCACCAGGTCCAGAACTGGACCGATCTGATAACAGTAACCCACACAAGCACCCGGGAGCTTAGAAAAAAAATATCTTACTTTAATGGTGTTTTGGAAATGAAAATTTGAATTTTCCATCGCAGTCACAAAAAATGAAATAGTCAGGGGCATAATGGTCATTACCCGAAATGACTGCTCTAAAGTCTAAACACAAGCGGCAGAAAGAATTCGACCACTTTCCAAAGAAGCACAAGCATTTTGGTAATTTCAGAGGAGGACAAAAAAATTGGAGAAAAAGAAACGCATTCCACAGATTAGAAGGAAAATGAAAGCAAACAAAATGAAAAAGGACCACAAATTCTTAGTCGTTACCAAATAAATTCATAAAAATATAAAAAGAAAAAGGAAAAAAACAGAAGGCATGCAACATTCACATGTAAAAGGGGCATAATCAGCAAGTACCATCTAAATTCCACTGAGGAAAAGGAAAATCAAGGGAAGGAAATCGATAGTTCGAGTTCTCCCAGGTGATTTCCCCAACAAAATCAGCACGATATTATCAGAAGAAGGCTGAAAAACAAAGCAGAAAACAAGTAAAAATTTCAGAGCAAAAGACAAAAACAGCAAAAAAGATTGGCGGGCAAAATTACCAGTTCTACCGGACGCTCCAGTAACAAGAACCGTGGGCAAATTCGTCATTGCTGAAACTGACAGAGCTCTGAAACCCTTTCTCTTCCCTCTCTCGGATGTGAGCGACAAGAAATTAGAATGAAGAAGGGTAGGCGAGGACGACCTGTGTTTAATTAAGGAAGTTGAAGGGCATGGACTTGGGGCGACACGTGTCCACATCGCCATTGGGGAGAGAGAGTGGTGTTCGCGAAAGCTCGAAGGCGTCTCACCATGCGTTTTTTTGGATACCTTATCACTCTGCATTTTTCTCCGCGACACTTTCACCCCTAATTTACTTGGGGTAAACTGCATGGGATTGTATACAAGGGGACACCATTTACCTCTTCACATAACCATCCATTTGAGTTTGGTCAATACAATGTAGCCATCCAATTTTACATCTAATGGTCAAGATTAATTGTATTATGATCCAGGTGACTCATTGTATATTTTTCTAAATTGTATTATGATCTAGGTGATTATAAAAAATCAATAGTCATGATTGATGTTATCATCCAATTATTGGGGGGACTTCGATTGAGGGTGAGAGAACTACCATGAGAATATCATGGCAATTTAGGGTAGGCAATGGGCCCCACCATGGCCGGTTTGGCCGATCCCAAGCCCAGACAAAAGTTGATGGCTTTATTAGGTAAGACAGCCAATATATAATTTTTTCATATCTTTTCATAAATCCTTAATCTCTATTTCGCATAATAGGTATCGTGCAGCCAAATCCAAATTGTTGGGATAATGCGATGATGATGATGATGAATGGGCCACCTGACCTCCAACCTAACAAACTTCGCCCACCTGTTGGATTAGGCCAAGCTACCACAGCCCAAGGGTGGAGGCATGAGGATAGGGCCGGTCCTGGGAAAGGCCACGAGAGGGTTGTCCTAATTTGGCCTGCCAATTTTTTTCTCAATTTTTAATTTTGCTTAGGGCCTGGCCTCTTTTGCGAAGTCAGGATCAGGCAAGCTTGCCCCAACCCTATAGGGTCTAGGGCCAAGCTCGGGATAGGGCTAGCGGCTGGCCCAACCCAATAGCATCCATACCTGGCGTGTGTGGGCCCTACCTTCCACCTTTCATGGATCATTGGCTTCATTTATTGGATGGAGATAACAACTAAGAGTGGGCAAGGTGATTGACAGTGTAAATTTCATTTTGTCATGTGCATTTGCTTTTTCCATATTTAATAAGCTCTCGAATGAATCCATTTTTATATATACTGATGGAAAAGTATCAATAAGATTATTAATCTTTGACATAAAGTGGTCACAATTAACCATCGGATGTGAAGTTAGATAGCTGCATTTAATCTATTGATCAAGCTCAAACTTCAACAAAAAAAATTTGAACTTTGTGATACACCCATACTATCAAAATTCACATCGGATAGTTATTAGATTTCACATCTGATAGTTGTAAGTACTTGTGACTTATCAAAAGCAAATAGTCGCATTATATATATACTTAGCACCGAGACTTTCGCCATCATATATATCAATGGTATCAAATTCACTTCGCTTTGGTCTAAGGGGCCGAAGCCTTTAGATTTTAGGCATAAACCTAAGCGAAGCAAAGCTTGGCGCTGCCGTTTCGGTCATATTTGGGTTGCTTCGAGTATGCTTCAAGACTGCTTCGGCCAACAAAAGAAATAGCTATATAAAAGTCCTTTTTATTATTTTTATTTTTATTATTTTACTATTTATTTGTATGTTATATAAAAATATTTAATTTATTTATATTAATTCTTTTAAAAAGTATGAAGTATTCTCCCGAATCAATCGAAGCACCAAATTGCTTCATTTTTCTTACTAAACCGAATAAGGCTCCAAAACAAATATGACAACATTGATGTAAATTAGTGAGATTTACTACAATTTTAAGAATGTAGGTGTAAATTTAACGTCCCTATTGTACCATGGAGGGACGTGTATCCTCCCTCCATCACCAATTAGGGGCGGCAATCGGTTGTTTTACAATTTGCTCATCTTTAACCTTGAGGATCGTTTCATTTAAGGTATGGCTTATCCACGTAACGCCATGATTTTTAAAAGTGCCGATTTAGATAGGGATTTCCTGATAAAAAATCATTTTGTTAATTCTGTCTTGGAACTTGAAATCAACACTATCCTCTATAAAAATGCATTGTTCATATCTGTAATATATGTTTGTTTGATCATTTAATTATCATAGAAAGTGCTTTAAAACCTGATGATTTTCGATCCGGATATGAGATCGAACTAATTCCATGATGGTATGGTCATAGGGGTCTTTGGTCAGTTTCGCCTAGAAACCCTTTTTTATATTTTTATTTTTATTGTAATATTTATTTAATGTTTTTTTAGCTCTCCTTAAATCTCCACCCTATAAACTCTTATTATTTAATTTAATTTAAATATTTTTTAAATCACAAATTCAAAATGATGTTGATCATCAATCCAACGATCCCACACAGGTCTTTGGGGTGAGTGATCCACCCCACCGATCTAGGTTTTGAAACACTGATAGAAACAAAAAAAATACTCTCTATGCAATTCTTTTTTGTTTAGTTATTTATTTAAACTTTTAACTATATGGCAGATTTGATTGACCTATATCGCTACCCAATTAAAGCGATTGGAATCGCGATTGGGATTAACACAATAATTTGGATATCGATTGCTTTGTAATTAAAGCTTATCCTACACTCTTGAATTTCCCACTCAAATTTATGCTACTTTTTTTTTCTCAATCATAAGATTTTATTTTATTTTTTTAATGCTCATCATACATTCCTTTTTTCTCCTGTCTTCATTCCCATCCTTAATGCTTCTTTCTTCCAGCTCTCTCCAAGGCCATTCTTTAAACAAGGTACACTCTATTTTTTCATCATTTCAATTTTTATTAATGAATATTAAATTTTGCTTTGATTTTCTTTATTAAAAATCTAATAGATTGGAGTCATATAGGCTCTTCCTTAAATAGCTTATCAACCGTTGATCTCTCTCGTTTTAAGAACGCTGCACTATTTCCCTTTTTTGGTTCATTGTGGCCACTTGTGGATTTGGTAATTTCTTTTGAGATTATTACATATTACCTCTCGATTCTTTGTGAGTTTTCTCTCTCTGTCTCTCTCTTTTTAAGAACGCTGCACTATTTTTCTTTTTTGGTTCATTGTGGCCATTTGTGGATTTGGTAATTTCTTTTGAGATTATTGCTTATTGCCTCTCAATTCTTTGTGAGTTTTTTTTGTATAGAACCCTAATTCTTCGTATTATTTCATGGTAGACATTCCTTTTGTTTTTCTTTCAATAAGAAAACCCCTAAGTATTTCACCATACCTCCTCATCTCTTGGGTTGAAATGGTACAAAAAGATTCGTTGGGATTAATTTTTATGATAAAAAAGTTAATAAAAGAGAAAGATAAGAGATGATGGAGTATGGTGAGATCTGTATGGGTTTTCTTATGCAGCATGAAAGAAAAACATAACGAGGGTCTACCATGAAATAATAAATATGATGAATTAGGGTTTTATATTAACTTCTCTTTGTTTTTCAGTGGGGGAGACATGTCCCTACCCATTTTTTTAAGTAGATTAAAAAAGTGGTACATTAGGATTTTGGCAGCTACCCATTGGTGAGAAGAGACTTCATCATGAGGTTTGACAATACTACCGCGAAGGCCCGATCATGACTTACGTTTAATTTGTTGATCATTCCTATTTTTGAACTTTGTTTAATTTGTTGATCATTTCTATTTTTGAACTTCGTTCAAGTAAATACGTATTAGGATTTGCATATTCCCCTTGGTTGCTTCAAGTTACTGAATTTTATATGCGGGCATATGACCAAGCCCAATTTATGAACAACGAATTTGTGCATTCAAGGAGTTTGAATATATTTAATGAGTAATGATCCTATAAGACCCTCCCCCACCCATGTGTGTAGGACTCCAAATGATCACTATTAAAGTTAGCACGGATCTCTAGAAAAATTATCACATAAGTGTGGGACTTGACTTTTCTATAGATCCGTGTCAAATTCAATAGTGATCCTTTGGGTCCTACACACATGGGTGTGGGAGGGTCTTATATGATCATGTATCATATTTGATATAATACTATATAATGAGTGGACACATAATACAAAAAATAAGGACCTTATTTTTAGAGAGATAGTAGGGCCCGTGCATTTATGTTCAAAGCAAGAACATAATCTTTAGGGAAGAGAGAAAGTTTCTTTTAGGTAAGGATATCCTAAAGGACAAGGCTTCTATGCGGCCAGCCCGCACATGTAGAAATGCGGGCTTGGCAATAAATATATTTTTTAAATATATTTTGAACCTAATTTTTAGAGAATATACAATCTTTAACACGGAAATCATGAATATAGATTTTTTTTTTGAAAGCTAGAAATAACAATTATACTAAGAAACATTTGAACCATTAGTTACACTTGTTTTTAGATGGAACACGCATCCATTTTTAAGATGGATAGTTTATACGTATTTTTAAGATGGATGCTTTATACTTCTGGACTGTATATTGTAGAAATGCGGTAAGAAACAATTTTCCTATCCTAAAAGAATGAATATTTCAATTATTGATTAAGATGACTAAGGCCAAAAATTATTATTTTTAATTAGAGACAATGGTGTAATTTTCTTATAAGGAGATCCGTATTTTTTTTATTGAAATAAAATTTTGTATAACTGAAAAATATGCCTAAATTACTTTCCATATTTTAAGTAAAATCTCTATATTCAAGGGATAATAATGAGTAAATTCAGAAAAATGTCCCAAATTCTAGGATAAAGATGTTGATTATTCTATATTTGTTATAAAAGATGTGATATATACTTAAAATTTTTTTTGGTATACTGGTTCCTAAATTTTTTTAGACCTTCCAATAGAGCAATAAATATCTATCTCTCTCCTTACCGAATCTCTCAAACCAGCTTCTCCAAGCCTCTGTCTCCTTGCGTCTCCCTCCTCTAATTGCTCACTTGAAATTAATTAAATATAAAAATATTAAATCTTGTGAACAATTTATAATTTAGGATTTTTAATAATGAAATTATGAATATTCTTTTAATATTATGTTTTCTTTCCCGCAGAGGATACCGGTTTCAATAAGCTTTTTGTTTTAATTCCAAAAAAATGATTTCAACAAAGGTTTCTTTAAATAAATTTTCATGATTATAAAAAACTTGGGAATAACTTATGTTTAAGAAATTTTAATAACAAATTTCTAGATAACTTTTTCATTGTTCTTTTTTCCACAAAAAAATTGGTACCAGTGTCAAAGCAAATTCTAAAAAGTGGTTTTTTTTTTAATTAAATTAATCACACAAGCACACACCCAAAAATGAGAAGTATGATACTAGCTTTAATTTTATTTTTGGATTTTAATATTTTTATGATTTATTAATTTCATGACTTTTAAATATGTGAGCTTCCTTGAACAATGTGCGCCGTGCTTCAATCTTCCTTTGTAATATTGATTGAAGCCTTTTTGTTTTAATCTAGATTCAAGTGTTCTAATAGATATGCTTTTTAGAGCTAATACTTATATTTTTAGTTATTAATTTTTATACATTAATATTTTTTAGGATTAAATATTTAGTTTTTTTTACTATAATTTTGTATGCAAGCATGTTATACTCTCTCAATTAGATATTAGTGTTTTTTTGTGAATTTTGGTGGATTGTCGAACTCCTTCAACAACTTCATTGAATTATTAAAAACAATTATTATTTAAAATTATTTGGTAACCCCAATACATAAACTAATAATAATAATAATTTCATACTATAGAATTTGTCATTAAAATTTTAACCCCACTAGATCGTAATATGGAGTAAAAGAATATAACTTTCGAACAATATTTCTATGCTTCCTCTACAACATAAAACTTTTATATATTTCCCCTTATCCAACCCTCCATTCTGAATGGAGGCTAAGATTGCCCCAATCACAATGTCATGTCGCTACACTATTTTATTTTTAATTTTTTTCTATGAACGATTTTGATACCAAAGTTTGTACGTCCAATCCTCTATTAAACTCGTACTAACAAAAAATATAAAAAAGATATTTCCAATAAAATAAATGATCAAAATACCTTGAAAGTTGTAAGGGGTATTTTGGTTATTATATTTATCAAAATTTATTTTTAATATTTTTTTATAGGTGCGCCCCAATGAGAAGATGGCACGTACCAAAATTTTATATTCATACAATTTGAATAAAAATAAAATACTTTGATACGTAGGTTTTAAGATAAAACGTTGAGTGACTTTTTTTATCAAAATTGGATAGCTGGATGATAGGGGAAGCATAGATCTTCTATGTTGTAGGACAAATATAAAACCTTTCCCATAACTTTGTATATGTGTATCTATTGGAACTTTTTATTTAGTAGATTTTTTTGACATTATTACGAACCCCAGGTGCGTCTATTGGAACTTTTTATTTAGTAGATTTTTTTAACATTATTACGAACCCCAAGGCCCCATGCGCACATACTATTTTTATTTTTTTATTGTCATCCATACTAAACTACATTTGAGTTTTCATGAAATATTATAAAATTTATTTTTTGTTATTATATTATGAAATTTGTTGTTTGTAAATTTATTTGTTAGAAGCATGACTGGTTATGGATTGTGTATTTGCACTTGAAACTCTCTTGGTTTAACTAATTCTTTTTGTAAATACTTATTGCATGTCTATGTATCCTCCGTATCCTCCATTGCATAGCCGTTTTCAGCCATGCTCTATTCTTCATGAAAAGGGCGTCTCTATATTTCATACCTCAAGAGTATGTGGTTCATCGTACAATGTAGGGTGTCTACCATGTAAATCCAATACGGACGGTCCCGATTATCCCAAGTGGCCAAGTCATCTTAACTGTCAGTCTAGATTCGGATACAGATGGTCCATAAATCGGCCTTTCCTCGGGGTGGCAACGGGTCGGATCTAGCTGGACTCGGACCTGGACCCATACCCGAATATATTTGGGTTTAGGTTTTGGACCCAGACCCCACTCGTCGGGTCAAAAACTTGGACTTGTCAAGTCTCGAGTCTACCCCATCGGGTCTCATGTCCATTGTCACCATCACTATGAGCTTCTTTTTTTTGCCCCCTTTTCTTTTTTATCATCATATATCCATGTTAGTGGCAACAAGATCACAATCACCCATTATTAGATTTCAAGCCGTATGATTTGTCATTTAATGGCTAAAGATAACTACTAATTCTAATTATATAAGATCTTTAACACACTCCAATGAATAGAGTGTAAAGCACAGTATTTTATCTCTAACAGTCTATGGGTACTGGTCGGGTCTAGTTGGACTCGGACCCGTATAGTGTCGGGTCGGAGTTTTGGATCTGTACCCGACTTGTGGGTCCAAATGTTAGACCCATATCTGACCTGTATTGGGTACATCCGGTGGTCCCAGGTGGGGTCAGGGTCCATTGCCAACTGAAGCCTTTTCCGGGCGCTAGATCACATGCTACGGTGGTCGCATGAAATCACCCGAGCAGCTCTCAATAAATAGGGTGAAAACCATATCGTGTTCACCAAGTGTACACAGAGCGTTTTACTGTTTATTCAGAAATCGGACGGTTATGATGAACCTCCGTACTGACATGTCCCAGCCCTAGCATTACGCAATATAATACATCTCCTCCAAGATGCCTAACAACAGTAATAAGGAAGCGCAAGCACGCCTCCCAGCAAACGACCGACGAGAGGGGATTCTCCTGCGTTACCTCTCTCTACAGCGCTCTGGTTTATCTCTCTGCGCTATCTCTGGTCTCTCTCTCTCCTCTAATTTCTACTCTCCAATTTATCATTTTCTCTTGGTTATATCTTCGCATCAACTGATAATGCGTTTGTCAATTATTTAGGTGATTAAAGAGGAGGAATTTCTGGTTCTGAATTCAGTCCACTGGTTCAACAATGGTATGCTATGTCATCTTTGATTTCTAGTGCCCTAATTTTTGTCTTTTACGGAGGTTTCACTTCTATTTTCTCTCGTATACTTGTAAACTAATCTGCAGATTAGGTGGATAATTGATTTCTAGTTTTATTGTTATTCTCTTCTGTATTTGCGGATTGAGCATTGTGGTAAACAAAATGGATTGGTGTTTGCTTAGTGCTTAGTACCAGTTTACAGAACACACATTGCTTGCATTTCTTGATAATGAAAAAATCATAAATAAAGGAATTTCCTGATCTTCATGAAACTTTGTCGATTTTGTACGGGAAAGCAAAGCAAAAGAGAAGACATGAGTTCTTCTAGAGGTTTTATGTGTCCTCTATAATCATTTATTGGATGAAAGGGAAGAGGGAAGATAGAAGAGAGAATCTTCTAGGGATTTTTGTATGTTCCTTTTGTTTTTGTTTTTTCTCATCTTCTTTTTCTTGTTCATCGCCTATCGTTTCTTCCTTTTCCTTCATTATTTTAAAAGTATTCTACCAAATGTCGGGGGAATCCCTTGGTGAATTAACTTACATAGATAAGTGAAATAGTTATGGCCTATTTGTCATTGATCATCTGTGTCATCCTGGCATTGTCGAACTAGATAGCTTATTTCTATTGCTTAGACTTTCTTGCTGGTTATTCAAAGTTACGATTATGGTGGAGTGATGGCCTGCTAGACCTTGGTGTTTATTATTTCTTCCTGTGGGTTTGTATATGAAGGGCACTGAGATGATTAGCTAGTTGCCGTCGATTTCTTTCCTGAAATTCTTTTACGTCGCTTTGCATCAGGAATTGCCTACAGATTGTTGGACTTCATGGAGTTTTCTTGGGGATCTTTAATTCTTTTCACCATTTGATTCTTAAAAGATGGGTATATTTAAGGAGTGAGTGGTTTAAGATAGCTTGGATATGTTTGGTTGCAGTCGACTAGTGATTGAGGAAGCAGTCTCATCAAAATTTGCGAGAGTTGATTTAGCCCCCCAATCTATTTCCTTTGAGCATGTGGTATCACTACCTTTAATAAAAGGTGTTCATTTGCTAACTCCTTTGTTGTCCATGGTTAAGAAATAGACAAACAAATGTAATGTACACATTCCCTATGATTAAGATATTCTTTTTCTTGCATCTCACCTTGTTCCCTCGCAGTAGACTCCATGAGGTTATACTTTTAGACACCTCATACATCTAGGGCTTGTTTGGATGGTAGTTCATCTTATCATGAGCAGATTCTCTTTTACGAAGTTATTATGCCCTCCAAAGATTATTTTCTTAGCTGTTTGTTGCATATGATATTGTTTAATTTTTTTTTTTTTGGGCATTCTTCAGCTATTTTAATAATTTTGCTTCCAACATGTGATTTTCAATAAGTTACTTTTAATAAAGTAAAAAAATCTTTTTTTAAAAAATAACATATGTAAAAGTTCTCATAAGTTTATCTCAGTTGGTTTTATGAGGGACACTACTAAACAATAAATAATTTATTATCAGGTTTAATTTTAGTGAAACTATGAATTATCAGTGACAACAAGCACATCAAAATGAGCCCCTTATGTGTACAAAAACTTACCTTAAAAAGGAAAAAAAAGAGCAACTTACCTCAAATTGGTTTATGCAGATTGAGTTGAGCTTGTATTCTTTTCTTTAAATCATCATCATCATCATTAGAGCCTTTTCCTAACTAGTTGGGGTCGGCTTCACGAATCTTGATCTGCCATTCAGCCATATTAAGGGTTATACCCTCAGTGAGGCCATAAGTCCCCATATCTTTTCTCACTACTTTCAACCATGTTCTTTTGGGCCTACCCCTAGGCCTTTTTGAGCATTCTACTTAAACTGACTCGTACCTCCTAATAGATATTGTATTGGGTTTGCGTCGCACATGGGCAACCCACTTAAGTCTACTTTCTTCCATCTTATCGCCTATTGGTGCCACACCTAAATTATCCTAAATGTATTCATTTTGAATTCTATTCCTTCTTGTTTTGCCACTCATCCATCTCAACATCTTCATCTCAGCTACACTCATTCTATGGGTTCATCGAGTGGCAAACATATTGTTGGATTTTTCTGGGCTCAATTATGTGTCGAAATTCCTGTAAGATGACCACACTACTATACATAGAGAAAGAAAGGGAGAGATATAAAATATTCCACTTCACACTATCATTATACTATTATTAAAAATTGTTAACTGCTACGATGATTACATACTCTCATTAATGCATACCCTCTTTCTCTCTCGTAATTCATTACTCCCTTCTCTTATACTCTTACCATTCATGTCGCTCACTCATTTTTCACTTTCTCACTTCTCTCTCTCTTATACTCTCCTCTCTTTCTCTCTCCACCATTCACTTCCACACCCACTCGATCTCTTTTAACCTACACTTCATCACACACACCAATGGCTTAAACCTATTCCCTATATTTAATCTCATTTGCACCTACATTTGCATCGACTTCCCAAGGTGTTGACTTGACTTGGCGGTGGTGATTGTTTCCAGAGAGAAGGAAATCTCTAGAGAGAGAAAGAGGCAAAGAGGAGGGGAGGGAAAGTGGGGAGAGCCATGTGTTGCTCTCTCCATCAATTCTCCCCCTCAACACTGACTCTCTTTCACAATTGATCTTCAAATCATGATGAGTCTTTCTTTGTGCTTAGCAAATTTGGTGATGTTAAGCCCTTTTGTAAATATATCGGCAATTTGTTCTTATGGCCTTATCAATGCCACTGTGAGCTTTTCATTTAGGACCTTTTCTCTTATGTAATGACGATGCACCTCAACACATTTGTTCCTTGCATGGAAGATGGGGTTTTCAGCCAGTCAAATGGCTGATATAGGTTGTCACAAAAGAGTGACATTGGTTTTTCAACTGGTTGATGCAAATTTTTTAGGAGAAGTATCATCCAGGTGAATTCCTGTGCAGCCATTGTTGCAGATTTATAGTCCACTTTGTTGGTTGACAAGGAGACATCGAGTTCTCTCTTACTACACCAAGAGGTGAATTCTTGTGCAGCCATTGTTGCAGATTTATAGTCCACTTTGTTGGTCGACAAGGAGACATTGAGTTCTCTCTTACTACACCAAGAGATTGCTACTGATCCTTGGCTAAAAGAATACCAGTACTAGATCGACGAGTAGTTTGGTATCCAGCAAAGTCGACATCACAATATCTAGTCAACTTGCATTTTCCCTTCTTATATATAACACTACGTAGTCAATGGTACCTTTGATGTACCGCATGATTATGTGAACATCCTCCAAATGAGGTTTTCTTGGATTCTGCATGAATTGGCTGACTACTCTGATTGCATGTGCAATGTTGAGCCTAATCAATGTCGGATAGATCAAGTTGCTGACAGTTTGTCTGTACATGGCTGGGTCCTTGAGATCTTCTCCTTCATCTGCACTTAGCCTCACATTTTTCTCCATCAGTGTTGAGATTGGTTTGCAATAGACCATATCGTACATTTGTAATTGGTCTCTACGTAGTCAATGGTACCTTTGATGTACCGCATGATTATGTGAACATCCTCCAAATGAGGTTTTCTTGGATTCTGCATGAATTGGCTGACTACTCTGATTGCATGTGCAATGTTGAGCCTAATCAATGTCGGATAGATCAAGTTGCTGACAATCTGTCTGTACATGGCTGGGTCCTTGAGATCTTCTCCTTCATCTGCACTTAGCCTCACATTTTTCTCCATCAGTGTTGAGATTGGTTTGCACTAGACCATATCGTACATTTGTAATTGGTCTCTAGTTTACTTTTTCTGACACGAGAAGAGACCTTCCTTGAATTGTTCAATTTCGAGTTCCAGAAAATGTTTGAGCTCCCCAAGCTCATTCGTTTGAAATCTGACTGACATATTCTTCTCTATGAGGTAGATTTCTTCAGTCTCATCCCTTGTAACAATCAGATCATCAACATAGACAAGTATAATCGATAGTTTATAATCTTTGGTTTTCACAAACAAGCTTGAGTCAGCAGGTGTGGCCTAGTATCTATTCTGCAATAGGAACTCCACAATCTTGCTATACCAGGTCCTTGGTACGTGCTTCAGTCCATATAAGGCCTTCTTTAGCTTGCAAACGTAATTTGGTTGATCCCTGCTTTCAAACCCTTTTGGCTGCTCCGTATATATGGCTCGATCAACCTCTCCATGAAGAAAAGCATTCTTTGCATCCATTTGCCATAATTTCCATGACTTCCTTGCTACCAATGCAAGTACTACATGGACTGTCGTGATTTTGGCCGCAAGACTGAAAGTGTCCTCGTAGTTGATCCCATAGTGTTGTGTGAAACCCCAAGCAACTAATTTGGTTTTATATCTTTCAATCAACCCATTGGCATGGGTCTTCACTTTGTACACCCATCGACAAGAGATGGGCTTTGCCTTTGTCGGTTGAGGAACCAAGTCCTATAGCTGGTTATTTTCTAGTGCCAAAATCTCCTCTTCCATGGCCTTTTGCCATTTTGAGCTCTGCTGTGCCTCCTCATTTGACATTGGTCTCGTCCATCGTTTACTTTGGCAACATCCACATATTTAGGATTCAATTTTTTGGCCTTGGTTGATCACCGTAATTGTGGCTCTTCAATGATCTCTTCTAATTGACTTGGTCGAGCTTCCTCAAGTGTCTTTGTTTGGTGGACACCATCTCCCCATGGGCTGGAAGATCTTCTTGGTGTGGTCGGTGGGTTGTGCTGCATCTTGTCTTCCTGGTTCGGCTCGACCTGCTCTCTTTCTTGAGTCTCTTGGTCTTCAGCCTTTTTTCATCTTTGGTTTCTGATACTTTTGTAGTTTTCGAAGTCCACCAGGATGATTCTTCATCGAAGACCGCATCTTGTGATGTGTAGCATCTGTTGGTTGTAGGGTCGCAACACCTCCACCATTTCGTTTGGGTATCATATCCCACAAATATGCATCATACTATCTTTTTCTCTAGCTTGCTACATGAATTTTCTAGAACACGCACAT